AAAAATAAGCCCTCCACCAAAAATAAGCCCTCCCCTAAAATATTTAAACACATGCACAGCTGGTCCCTGCCATTTTCTGGGAGGAAAGGGGGAAACATGCACCACACTCCCCACTTGCACCTGCCATCCACGTGGAACAGCCTCACGGAGGCCGCTCCTACCGCACCCTAGCTACCGTGCCCTTCTTTTAGTGCTAGCCACAAAAAGAACGGCTGGCCCAGCGATGCTAGGGCTGGCAAGAGTGTGCCAGAAACAGAGACAGAACTTCTGGCCTTCTCTGGATCAGCTGATCTGCAGACCATGGGCCAAAGTTAAAGGGCCTCCTGCACCTCAAAAATAATAAGACATCCCCAAAAATAAGGCCAAGCATTTATTTAGGGAGTCAAAAGAAAATAAGACCCTGTCTTATTTTCAGGGAAACACGGCAATCTATTGCACAAAAAGAATAAGGAAACAGTTGCCAATTTCAATTGACATTGTTAAGCGAATTCAGCAAATTCCTTCAATACTGTTCAATGCAATTCATCTGCTATTGTGTATTGAAGGGTATTCCTTAGCTAATAATTTGGTATTTCTTTCTATTTCAAGTCTCAATCTGGCCTTTTCATCGTGCTCCTGTTCCACAATTGGCCTGCATCCAGCATAGCGAGGCAAGATAAAAGTATACAAATTGTCACTATGATGTAGTTGCAGCTAATAATCTTACAGCATATAGACCTTAAGTAACTTATGTGTGATGCTTCTTATACTATCACCCCTTACAATTCCTTTTCACTCTCCTATCATCACCGTAGCAATTGTTTTGTGTACTCTTCCACAGAATAGTTTTGTGCTTGTCAACCTACCATATTATTTTCTCTTTAATCTGTCTTTCATACTCGGCCTATATAGCCTCTTAAAGTAGTAATTATATTGCAGGGAGAGAAAGGTTGAGCTCCACCACAACATTCCTATCCTAAATGGGTTTGCGATCACCCGAGGAAACATGGGGAGAGAGAAAGATTGCATGAAATAGAAATAAAGATAATACATGTACATACCTGAATGGGAGGTTTCTAAAACTACCCCTCACTTTTGTTATTAGGTGTATGCAGACACAGAGAATCTAGTAATACAGCATTTGGTGCAGCTAAGAAAAAGCCAGAAGTAAAAATAAGATAATTAAAATTATTAAAAAGTTAAGCTTAATAATTATAAACTAGAACACTGGGATTCAAAACAGTTTGTTTATCCTAATTTCTCTTTGCAATAATGCTGTTAATGAGTTTTCAAGTGGAAAAATCATTCAGTTAATCTTGTTTAAATTACTGTTTATCAAATGATTCAAATGAAATGTATTCTAATATAATAATTGTATTTGCATCATGTATTTCTATTTTCATTTATGAATATGGATCCGAGAACTAGATTTGCACTCATATATGCAAGGGGTTTATTTTTATACCATTAGGATTTATTTTTTTAGCTTTTGTCCAATTATTTTTCTTTCTAAATATAGGAGGAAAGAGAATACCCTTTCTTCAAACTCGATATTATCTTGCTATTTTATATTGCCATCTGTATCATTATAATATAAGTGAGGCTCAGGGTCTGTGTGATCACCTGGTATATGAACTCCTAAAACGAAATCAAATTTCTGTAAGAAACCAAGATGCTATGACAGGTATGTAAATGTAGAATTCTTCTTTCATCACTCAAGTTATATATAATAATATTTAATTACATATTATATGTTACATATAATTTGTTATTTTTGTTAGTGTTATAAATATATGTTATTCATCATTTCTGTACAGATAATAGAATATTGCTTTGAATTATATTATGCATTTTTATTTGCTTGCTTTTAAACTCTTCTTTTCCCTCCCAAATCTCCCAATAATTCCCTCCCAAATCTCCCAAAAATTCCCTCCCAAATCTCCCAAAAATTCCCTCCCAAATCTCGTTTTAGAAACCAGGTAGTCCTCAATTTACGGGCACAATTGAGCCCAAGGTTTATGTTGTTAAGTGAGAAATTTGTTAAGTAAAGTAAATTAAAGTAAAGTAAGTAAAGTAAAGTGAGTTTTGCTCTGTTTTATGACTTTTCTGGTCACATTTGTTAAGTGAATCACTAAAACTGTTAAATTAATAATACAGTTGTTAAGCGAATCTGCCTTCCCCTTGGTTTTTGCTTGTCAGAAGGTCGCAAAAGATGATATGACCAGGATACTGCAACTGTCATAAATATGAACCAGTTGTTCAGCATCCAAATGTAAATCACATGACCGTGGGGATGCTGCAAC